TTGAGAGCTGGGAGCCAAGTTTTGTTGAGTTTCAAACTTTCCTCTTTTTTGTTGAAGTTTTTCTGGTGCTTGTGGATTTCAAGCTCTCAAAAATACAGCATGCAAAAGGTCACGAACTCTACCCAACCACAAGGTCAAGGGGATCACTACCATCAACCACAGTGACAGATAATCTCCTTATCATAACAATACACCCACAACAAAACACACTAATCACCCATTCACAGAAAACAATACACCCACAACAATACACACTAGTCATCCCAACTCACAGACATAAATACTCCACGCCCTAGCCAAACTACACCAGAGCACAGTTTGCTGTCCTCTGAAGATGCCGGCCACAGAGGCGAAACGTTAGGAAAAACCACCTACACAACACAGCCAAGAAGCCCGAAAAACCCACAACAACCACTACTAACATGAATTTGACCCAACTCTGGTAGGCAGTAGAAGACAGGAGGGGCTGGCGTGCTCTGGTCCATGGGACAGAGTCGGCTAAATGACTAAACAACAACAACAATATTCGCGCTGGCCACATGACCATGAATCTGTCTACGGACAAATACTGGCTCTATGGCTTGGAGATGGGGATAAGCACTGCTCCCTAGAGTCAGACACAATTGGACTAAATGTCAAGGGGAACCTTTACCTTTATCTATATTGTTTAGATAGTAGTTTTAATCATAAATTGTGGACCTAGGTCTTTTCATGTGTTTATGGTCGCTTTAAATAATAATATTTCACCTGTCTTGTTTATGTTTAAAAATCAGCAGGACGGTTATATAAATAAAATTCATTATGAAACAAAAGGCAAAAAAATAAAAAACAAACAAACAAACCAACTATTATGTACACATTTCAGTCCTATTCACTTTCTACTTGGCACTTCTTGTCTTGTCTTTTGCATTCATTAAACTGAGCATCTCTTGTCACTGTCCAGCAATAGTCTGCAAGCACTGATGGGCTCGATTTGCCCTGGCAGCATTTCTTCATTGTTACAATATCCTGGTGAAATTGCTTGCCATGGTTGTTGCTCACTGTCCTGCAGTTTGGTGGGGGAAACAAAGTTCTTCATCGGACCCAGTCTGGTGTATAAGGATGGAAACAAAATCTTCCTCGATTCAACAAGTGATGAAAACTTTTCCTCCCAGGCTACAAAGGCTGTCAGAGTGGTCAATCTGTCTTGATGTAGTGGGACTCTCTTGCATGACTATCCCATTTGCATAGAAAACTGCTGTACTTTCTGTATCCAGTCTGCAGACCAAGCAAGAGAGCAACAACCTTCAAATCACCACAAAGCCACCACTGATGTTGGTCATAGTTTATGCACCTCAAAGATTGTTTCATGTTTCCATACTTTTTCCCCTTCTTCTAAGAATAATGTTTATATCATGTATAATGCAATATGAGGTTCAGATTGCATAATTCATTGTTTTGCCTGAAAAGCAAGTCATAGATATTCACAGATCCAGTCAAAGATTTACTTTAGTCATTTCTGGTTTAGATTGAGAGCCTTCCCTTTATAACTCACTTATCCTCCACCATTCCCAAGTTAAGGTTGTATATACTGACCAAATAACATATCTTCAAAACTAGAGCCAATCAACAATTTTAAGCATCATTTTCATTCTCAGTAACCCAGAATTAGTAAAGTTTGACTGCATTTATTTGACTACAAGCATTTTGGCTGTAGACTAATGACCTGTATTAGACATGGGAGATTCATCAGGAGATGAAGACGAATCTCATTGACACAGGTGGCCAGCTCTATTAACGCCCACACCCAGAACCCACCGGTCCACTTACTGTTCATGATATGGTGCATACTGTATCATTCTTTGTCATCACTGCCTCCACTTGTTTTTCCCAGGTCTTCTTCAAGATACTGCTCTTCTATGGCAAAACCTTAAATTACTAGGAAATTGGTTAAATGAAAGATTAACATCCCTATCATGAACTCATAGTACACAAAAGACTTTAGGAGAGGTTCTTCTGCATGCCTATTTGTCATAATTAAGTATCTCCAAGGCATTTCTACTGTTTTTAGAACCTGTTCTGAAGCTTAGTTTTACAGGATCAATATTTAAATCTAATTTTAGGGACAAGATCCTCATCAACTCTGAACAGCTATGTAGCATTTTCTTATTACTAATTTAAATAACCAGAGCAACAAGAAATATAAGCAGACATGACTCACCTACTAAAGCAGTGGTCGGAAAACAGGGGTAAATTACCCTAAATTGGTTAAAATCCTGGGGGTAATGAGCAGAGTGCTACCCCCTCCTACCCCCTCCCCCTGTAGTCAAACCTCAAATTGTAAGCCACCTCTCCCTGTTACTTCCTTGGTTGCAGCAGGGCACTTGTAAATCCTCTGTTCTTTCAGAGATCGGAGATAAACCTGCTTGATTGGTTACAGCTGTGGATTAGCCCCGGGCAATCAATCAATCCGGGGCTTCTGAATGACTGCTTCCTCCAGAAATGACTGCAAGCAAGCAGGAGGCGGGAAAAGATCACGTTAACGAGGGAAGGAGGGAAGGAAGGTGCAAGAGACCAAGGGCTTCATCAACCTTATTTAAATGTATGTAGAAAATGCATCGAGAAAAGGGAGGGAGGGAGGGAGGGAGTGTATGTGTGTGTGAGACAGAGGGAGAGGGAGTGAGAGAGACTTACTCAAAACTATGAAAAAGAAGAGGCAAGCAAAAGAGAAAGCTTGAATTAAGGTGTGGGGGGAAGGGTGCTGTCTAGGTTTATCACTGCTTTCCTTCTAAGAAGCAGGCATATTTGAATTTCGTGGCTGCTGTCACCCTCTGCAGTGATCATGGAGCCCAAGAAAGTAAAATCTGTCACTGCCTCCATATCTTCCCCTTCTATTTGCCAGGAGGGGACCAGTGGCCATGATCTTAGTTGTTTTGATGTTGAGCTTCAGACCGTTTTTTGCGCTCTCCTCTTTCACCCTCGTTAAGAGGTTCTTTA